ACAGAAGAGAAGAAGAAATAAAAACAGCCAGATTGCAAGGACAAAGGAAGAGTAAAAAAATGAGAAATAGAACGACAAGGACGTGGTCGAGGAAGCTTTAAAAATATGAAAAAAGGTAAAAATTGGAGAAAGGCTGGGGTCTGAAACCGGTCTGAAACTGCCAGCAGCGCGTCCCTATTGTTGCTGTTGGACCGTATTAATAAGACGCTACGATCTAATATACTAAAATGATACGCATATATATATATATATCATTGCCATTGTAACTATCATGTAGCATATAATAAGTGTATATATAATCTGTATGTGTACAGTATGTACATATATATATATCTGTGTATATATCTACATATACATATACATATACATATGCATATACATATACATCTACATCTACATCTACATCTACATATACATATACATATACATATATATATACACATATATATACATATATATATATACACATATATACACATATATATAATATAATATAATATAATATAATATAATATAATATAATATAATATAGTATAGTATAGTATAGTATAGTATAGTATAGTATAATATAATATAATATAATATAATATAATATAATATAATATAATATACATACGTTTATATATATAAATATACGTTTATATATATATATATATCCTTCCTAAATTGGACGTGATGATGTGCCGCGATAGCCTGCCTATATGCACGCCCCATGGATGCCGCAAGGCTTCACAACAGCTTGACGCTTTGGGAATGCGTGCCCACCAAAAATACAAACGATTCAGAAATGGCAACGTTTCGCTTTGGATTTTCATGGATTTCCTGATGTCTGTCGATTTCGCCCTTCTCCCGCCAAAAATAAACGGCATGTCCTGCCCAGCATCACCGCGACAGATGCGGAAGCAGGGCGGCGCTAGGCTCTTTCTGAGCCGTCTCAGGGCGCTCCAGAAATTCGGCTGGCCATCGAGGTTAGGTTTCAAGCGGCATTCCTGGCAAGGAAGCGCTTCTCAAGACGACGCCCAGCTCCCCAGCTGCCTTGAAACAACGCCAAGGACCCGCCTTCAGCACAGCATCCCACAAGACGCTGAGCAGTTTCACTTTCCGAATGGAGGCATAGTAGAAGCCAGTGTTGCCTGGCATTGCGACCCGATTCACCAAGTCAACTAAGTTGCGTGCTGGGACATACTAAAACCGGTTGGGTTCATGAAAATATTGGGTCTCAAGGTATGATCTGCATACAATTTAGCGATTGAGGCAATAAAACCTTCAGGGAACAACTGTGATGTTTATTTGGGTTCTTTGTTCATAATCTTTTTACACGCATATTGGCGTACGAGTATCTCACAAAACTTGGAAGAGGGCGTAGATTTATCATGCTCAAAATTTAAAAAAATACGAAACAGAAATGTGACTTCTAAGAAGTGTTTCACAGTTCCATCACACATTTTTATGTGAAGCTGCCTCATACCTTGTGCCAGTGGCCATGGTTCGCATGGTTCCCCTCACAAAAGGAGCATCTCTGAGATCTCCTGATAGATTGGGGCATCCCCTAACTCAAATGTTCCTTTACTTGTGTGCAACCGAACTGTTCCAGGACATGTCCCGGTAGAATTTTTGGCTCATCTACGGGCCTTCCTGCACCTCAGTCGCGGGGGAGTACACCCTGGGACCCGGCCAGTTCAGCTGATAGACGTAGTCATACCTTGCGATCGATCGATTGACTGGGCCTTAAAAATTGGAGGTGGAAATTGACCAAATCAGAGCAAAGTATGACTAATTGGTAAATATGATATTTATATAATCATATACATCTGTGTATGTATATCTATATATATTAGTATATATATATATCTATATATAGATGTTCGAAGGAAGTTTAGAAGTCCAACTTCCGATAATATGGACAGATGAAAAGCAGAGATGGGAAGAGTCAGAGGAAAAAGAGAAGAGAAGAGAAGAGAAGAGAAGAGAAGAGAAGAGAAGAGAAGAGAAGAGAAGAGACGAGACGAGACGAGACGAGACGAGACGAGACGAGACGAGAGACGAGACACGAGACACGAGAGACGAGAGACGAGAGACGAGAGACGAGAGAAGAGAGAAGAGAGACGAGAGAGAGAGAGAGAGAGAAGAAGAGAAGAAGAGAGAAGAGAGCGAAGAGAGAGAGAGAGAAGAGAGAAGAGAGAGTAGAGAGAAGAGAGAAGACGAGAGATGAGAGAGAGAAGAAGAGAAGAGAGAAGAAGAAGAGAGAAGAGAAGAGAGAAGAGGAGAAGAGAGAAGAGAGAAGAGAGAAGAGAGAAGAGAGAAGAGAGAAGAGAGAAGAGAGAAGAGAGAAGAGAGAAGAGAGAAGAGAGAAGAGAGAAGAGAGAAGAGAGAAGAGAGAAGAAAGAAGAAAGAAGAAAGAAGAAAGAAGATCAAAAAAGAGAAAGTCTCAGAAGAAAGAAAATCTAGGCGCGCGAAAAGGTAGGAAAGTCGCGAAACATTGTGTTTTCTCCAATGATTTGTGGCTCGGGAGGGTCGAAAAGTCGGCTCGCTAAAGCGGCGGGTGCAGAGCCAGCTGGCCAGATGAGAGATGAAAAATTGCACGCCGTTGTGGCGCCAAGCACATTTCCAAGTCAAAATGTACAAAACACACCAACATTGGAGCACTTTTCGAAGCTGCGACGTCGAAAAAGTGCACGTCGTTGTGGCTTTCCAAGTTAAAATTTGAATAACACCACATGTACGCGCCACTTTTGGGCGTTGAAGCGTCGTTTTGCGTGGCAGGCACAAGGGATTGTGCACCTTGTCAAAAGTGAGCAAAACATGAGGGTTTTGTGGCATGTCCAAAAACGATGGCAGGCGTGGGACATTTGAAGAGGATCTGCAGAGATGCATTTTCCGTGGCAGGCGCAGTACAAGAGACATGTTCATCAGAGCTGTTAGGAGGTCCGGGCGCGGTTGCATTTTGGAGCATCAGATCTGTAGGTTTGCTAAGATGATTTTGCGTGACAGGTGCAAGGTGCAGCACTTCGCATGACCTGGCATCACTTTTTCGTGGCAGCAGTACTCTAGACAGGTGGAGTGGAAAAATGGCAAAACGCATTGGTACGAGGCTGTCAGCTCTGCACTCAACTTTCCATTTTTGAAGGAGGTCTAACAAAATTGTTTCGTTTTTGATGTTGTACAACAACTTCGAAAATTGAGGAAGTCTCGCAGAATTGCTTCGTTTTTTATGTGGTCAACTTCGAAAATTGAGGAAGTCTAGCAGAATAGCTTCGTTTTTAACGTTGTCAAGTTCAAAAGTTGAGGAAGTCTCGCAGCATTGCTGCATTTTTGGCGTTGTCAAGTTCAAAAGTTGAGGAAGTCTCGCAGAATTGCTGCGTTTTTTATGTTGACAAGTTCAAAAATTGAGGAAGTCTCGCAGAATAGCTTCGTTTTCAAACTTGCAGATAGATAGACAGATAGATAGATAGATAGATAGATCGATAGATAGATAGATAGATAGGTAGGTAGATAGACAGACAGATGAACAGAAAGACAAATTAATAGATAAACAAAGAGAGTACGTTTTCACCACGACTAAAACTAGGTTTCCAAACCACGACAAAACCCGGCTGCGAACCACGACAAGGACCAAAGATTTAACCACGACCGGCAAACACACCATCGACTGTCTGCGTTGCCAGCAATCACACTCTTAATGAACTGGTTTCATTGTGTTTTAATCAATGAAATGCTTCATTACATTGGAGCACTCAGTCCGGGAGTTTACAGCATGTTTTTGCTGTTTTCACTCCATGCTGATGTCCTGAGAATGACAATGAACCTTTTCTTTTCGCATTCAACATTTATATCCATACATTGCTTCTGCTTCTGTTTGTATTTTTCGATTTTGCGACCACTCTGTTTCTCAGACAAGCGTTCGTTCGGCTTTTCTCAACCCCTAGGGTTGGTTTCTACTTGACCAAAATGGTCAGCTGGCTAATGGATGGGTGAAACGTAACCATCAAGCAGGATTCAATCACTGATGGCAAACAGATCCATCACAACTGGCAATGGAAAACAATGCGCAACTTCAGACTCGTCTGCGGTAGTCAGCAGTGTTTTCACGTGATGTGGTTTTGGTGATTTTTTTTATAAACGGGTAAATATACATATATAGTATGATATATATATATATATCTCTCTCACTTTTCTCACTTGGTCTCTGAAAGCTGCCCAAGTCCCCGTCTTGGAGACTGCAAAGACTTTGCACAACGTCTGGATTGGACCCAGACTTTCAGCAGCACGTATCGTGATCCCAGAATGAAAGAAATGAAGTAAGTGAAGTCTGATCACCACAAGCTTTGGGGGGGTGGCTTGTGGGCCAAAAGCTGTGGCCACCAATCGACATGTTCCTTCATGAGATGATGTGCATCTCACTTTTCTCACTTGGTCTCTGAAAGCTGCCCAAGTCCCCGTCTTGGAGACTGCAAAGACTTTGCACAACGTCTGGATTGGACCCAGACTTTCAGCAGCACGTATCGTGATCCCAGAATGAAAGAAATGAAGTAAGTGAAGTCTGATCACCACAAGCTTTATCCACTCCTGGGAACCTGCGCTGCAAGCTTCATCGCTCGCTCATGCAGAAAATTGGTAAAAACTCCAAAGCATGCATTGTTCAGGGTATCAATGAGGCTCTGGGCTTCGGAACTCAAACTGTGATGGAGAACCTGCGCTGCAACTTCCTGAAGGTAAAACTCAAGGGTGCGAACTCGAGCCCACCTGCCACGCCAGCAAATCAGAGGAATGTTTTCCGTCTGCAAGTACATGTTTGTTGCACCGCTCCCACGAAGAGAACCGGGAGTCACCCCGTGTTGCAACTGACGGCAAGGGATACCAAGTTTTTCCATCACAGCATTCCATTGATTTCGATACATACTGATTGTCCCAGCAAAGATTTTCAGATCCAACGGAGCAGTCCCAAACAGTGAGTCAACAAAAGATATGATATCAGGATCAGAGATCTTCACATGTTGCTGCCGGGCAAACCGGAAGGTTTTCGGACTTCGGAGATGGATATACAAAACTGAGACAGTATGCGCTGTGTCTCGTGGCAACATCAAATCGCGACGGGTCAGCTGAATAAATTCAGCTGGGTGCAGCATACCTGAAAAAGCAAGCATAGTGACTGCCGTCCATCGTGGCCAACCCCATAGCAAGGATAAACATAGTGCAGCTCTGAACATAGGAAGTGACAGGACTGGGCGGCAACGCCCTGGCTCTGCAACCTGCCACTTCCGGTCAATATGCCAAGCTCCGCTAAGAAAAGGTCTGTGCTGAGGATATTGGTCTTGGATTGCAGTCAATGCGTATACAAACATGTACCTGGGAAACCCGTGCTTATATAGATGCATGCCGTAGGCACGTAAGGCTAAAGCAGTATGTTGTGCATCCGCCACTACCGTATCAAAATTCAAGTGCAAATCAACGTCGAGCCAGCGTGCAAAAGCTTCTAAGCATTTTGTCATGCGATTGGCTGTGATCTTGCAAAAACCAACGGAGAGATCTAAATCCCCTCTGGGTTGGCCGGTTCGGCTAGGCCCCGGATTCCTTTCAATGTCTCCGGCAAGGAGAAGCAGCAAACGGACCCATCTCCCGAGCAGCTTCGGATAGCCTGCCGACTGGCAGACGAGATCAAAAGCGCGATAGTCGCCCCCAAGAAGCTGGTGCAGCCACAGCGGGACTGCTTTCGTAGGAGGCTCAACCTCGCGGTCACGAGAGGGGGCGTCGGCCCGATTTTTGCTGGAATAAACATGCAGGGAACCGGGGTAAATGTTGGAACCAATTTGATAGGGGATACTTTTCTTAAGGACCCGGGAAATGGCAAAACTACTAGATCTACCTTTAGCCGCCGCACCTATGGTGACTCTGCTATCTAGCAACCCGAGCAATCGGCTGTCACGGTGGGACTTAGCGCAATGCTTGATCCAAGATAAAAACACTTGACTTTCAAGGACGTTTATATGATTAGGCCGCTTGAAGCGGTATTGGAAAAGAGTCTTAAACAAAAGGGAATCAGCAATTTCGCCAATCCATTCAGGATCTTCAAACCACGGTCTTGTGGGGACTGGTTCAAATGGCTCGGTGAACAAGTGCTGGGCAAAACTGGAAGGCTCGGTGAGGCCGACTCTAGCAAAACTTCGAACGTGCTCTTGCATGGGAATGATTGGAACCCCTGATGCACGAGCAGCACAACTGCCTTGGGCCATCCTATTCATTAGAGCACACGGGTATCTGGCCGAGAAGCTGGATACGGGTTCTCCAATCTTTGGCAAACGACCATACACTGTAGCAGCGTCTGGAATGCATCGAGAATCAAATTCCTCAATGCTGGCACGTGTGAAATTGCCTTGCACTACAAAATGCTGATGTTTCCATTTACACTTGCAAGACCCCTCTAGTTCCAACAACCAGCCCTTATTATGTAACCATTGGGAAGGCTTATTAAAGGCTGATCCGAAGTTACAGAAAGCCATACGAGTAATAACACAACCGACCTGGACTAAGACCCGAAAAAGATGTAACCGAAACATGACAGATGACCCCGGCTGTTCGCAGCTAAAGAACACACCACTCAAAACTGCGATCAGGCCAAGCATTGCAGTTCGGCGGGCCAAAAGGTTATGTTCGGCTGTCAAAGGATCGGCCGGGTTGAACCCCGCAGGAAAAGCGACATTGCGCAAGCGAGGGCGTCTCAGAGTCCCGTAGGTTAAACAGGGTGGACCTGCATGCCACTCTCTGACAACCCTCCTGAGAGCGAGTGCGATTACTTCTTTGTATGTGCTGTCATCTGAAAGGTCTTTGAAAAACAAACGGTCTTTGGATCTTTCGAAACCATCATGGACTGTCAGGCCATGACTGGCATGGCTCTCGGACCAACCCCCTGATCCTCTGAACAGCTCAACGCAATCATAAAGGAAACCCTCTTCTAATGAGCGGGGGATACGGTGGTTATTTATTGGTGGGGCATCAAACTCCAAAAGAAAATCTTTTTCCTGCTCAGGGTCATACCCTATTTCTTTAAGGATGCTAGCGGCAGGGCCTAACAGATTAGTATGGTACCCTCTTTGTTCTGAGTGGCGCCATAATTCTTCAACAGCAACTGCGGTGGCTGTTGCTGCAACTATGGCTCCCCCGGTGGGTGAGGCATCCAAAGAAAACACTTTTGGACATGTTTGGACCCGTAAATCCGCTTGGGCACAGCACCCCAACAAGGTAAGGGAAATAAGCTCATGGCGAGCATGGCTGGAAAGTTGAAAAACTTTTGTTGGAGGTTGATGCAGTCCTTCTTTAAACAACACATCAATGAGACTGAGTAAGGGGCGTCTGAAAAGAATCACATGAACCCAACATCCTACCACACTGGCAAGCAACTGACGTGTACATGTACCCAGTTTAGCGATATGGGCTGTGAGTTTCATCAAAAGGCAAACCCTAATCCTAGGAGCACTGACACGACCCTTGACCCCATCCAAGTCAGCACCCAACAAAGTACCACGAGTCTGGTGTCGCCTAGCTTTGCCTGGGTGTGCGACTAACCCCACCTTTTGATAGGCTTTCTGGGCCTTGTCAAACACTAGGGAGTCTCGGTGATGAGTATCCTTCCCAACTTCATTAAGGGGTATCTTTTGTACTCCGATGTGGTCATCGATTGCCAATAATTCGATAAAGTCCCCACGGGGAACTGGCTTCCTATATTCCAAAGTTTCACTATCCCGCATGGATCCCGCCTCTATCTGTAAAAGAGCATGGTGGCTGCCCTGTGCAATTTCTACCGCATGACCATCCCCCATGGCTAAAGTATTTAACGCTGGGTAGAAGGGACCTTTTTCGGAGGGGTTGAAACAGGAAAACCCTTTGACCTCAGATTCAAACACCTTGACGCCAATGCAGTTTCGTTTAGCTCTAAGTCTGGGGACTTTAAAGGTATAGTAGAAATCTGACAGGTCATCGGCACAAAATCTGATGGCTTGGTGTGGTTGGATGGAAAGTAGGCTTAACAGAGCTCCTGGGGCGAGCTTCTTAGTATAGTGGCTATAGGGAACCAAGCGGCTGTTCAAAACTGTAGGATTAATAATGAGCCTATCGAATTGAGAATCTTTAGGAACCGCAAATAAACCAACAGTTTCTTGGGGATCAACTTCATTACAGGGGAACAAAGCTAAAGATCCATGAGCATCCCAAATTTTCATTAATTTGTTCAACTCTGGCCGAGCGCAATGAACCCTAGCTTTAGATCGATTAGGCCAGCTGGAGGCCGGCAATCTTAAAGAATCTGGGTTATCAAACACAGACGCAACAATAGGGTCCAGAAGATAAGGCCTGGGATCAAACTTTGGGGGGTGCTTCCATTTGATTCTGCTGGCAACAACGGTCTTATGTCCTAAGTTCTTGATGGGGACATGGGCTGGTTCATACTGACAATCCTGAGAATCTGGTTCCTGGTTCGGATCTGCCGCAAAATGCGGAGGTTCATATGAAGTGTAAGCATCAAAACCCTGACTAATTGATTGCAACAGAACTTCAAGGTCCACATCCGCATGCTGCGGCAGTTCCTGCAAGGCACTGTGAATGGCACTGAATTTTTCCCCAAAACGGCCGAGATCGTCCGGATCAAATGCCGCAACGTCGCAAAAGTGGTCAATGTGCCGCTCGAGACACTCAAGGATTTTGATTTGGTCATCACTGTAACACTCACCTGCCTGTGCATCTAGGGGAGGCTTATCGGGATAACCTAGGGTGATCCAATTAAGGAAACACACAACCCTTTGAAGTAACAAGAATTTAGCATATCGGACCCTTCTACGTTTACGTTGCTTAGGTCCTGGGGAGTGGTTACCAGTCCATCGCCACAAGGGAGGGGGGACAGGCCACAGCGGCTTTCGATTGCTCGAAACCCTGACTACGCGTGAGATCCAAGCAGGCACACATGACCTAGCACGAAAGGTATTGAAGCTGCAGGGGATACGCTCTATGAGCTGCAACGACTCAACCAAACATTGCAAAGGATGGAAAGTGGCACTGCTACAAAACTGGGTGAACATGCAATTAAAAACTTGGAAGGGATCTTTACTCTGATGTTGGTGTGATGAATCACGACTTCGCTCAGAGCACTGTGCGGGATCCCCCGGCTTTTGGTTCATATCACCTAAGAAGGAGTTTGAGACGCTTCGGCCCCAGAGTCCCCCTTTGCACCCTTTCCGCCTTTGGGCTTCTTGGGTTTCACTTTTGGTCTGCTTTCCCGTTCTTCGAGATCTGTGTCCTTGCCTGACTGGATGGGTGGCCGACTGACACCTAACGTCCGGAGCTTGGACTCGAAGAGCTCGACGTCCTTCAGATACCCCACGTTGGCCGCCACCCAAGGAGCTGGGGCCAGACGGCTGAAAGGAGTCAACGTCGATCGCTTTCGGTTCAATGCCAGCTGCTGGAAGTTTGGTTCTGCCAGTCCAGTCATCAGCCAAGCTAAGCTCGTCCGACCGCCATCTAGACATGCCTGTTCTATGAACATCATCATCCGTCCACAGAAAGCCATCAAGGGGACGTTGGAAGTGTTGGTTCCAATTTCCCAACCTGCAGCTAGGATGTAACCCATCTGAGCAAATGTCTTGTGGTCGCCGATGGGAATCCTCTGTTCCAGGTATAGCTTGAAGAGGGCACTGTCGCTGACGGAAGAGCCCAAGCCCAGCTCGGCTTTGGCATTGCTTCGCACTAGATCTGCTATCTTGGTGTCGTCCTGAAGCTGTTTCAGAAACATCTCCCGAGCCGCCAGACCTTTGACTGAGACGCCACTTCCTCCGGAGCTGCCGCTGGCGCTGTCCGAGGCGGACAACATTGCAGTCAGGGGGTCGGCAGGCTGCCTGCCCGCTAGGGTCTTGACAAGGTCTGTCGTTTGCTTGAGCTGGAGCAGAAGCATCTTCTGCATTGGGTCGTTGGTCGAGCCCAATGCCGCTTGCACTTCTTGAGTGAGCTGCTGCTGCTCGGTTTCCAAGTCGATAACGCCACGATCTTGTTCGGCCTCCAGCATTGTGTCGGCCACTGCCTGAGGAGTAGAAGCATGGAGCCCCACTTGTTCGCTGCGACCCAGACGTCGGGGAGGCGGCCCTGCGGCTTGCTGCAAACGAACCAGTTCTGCAGTTGAGAGAGTCTGAGGTCCAGGACTTTGCTCGAAGATCCCGGGGACTCGTTGCTGAGCTTGTCCTCCGAGAGGCCGAAGGTCGCGCCCTGCAGCTTGTCCTTCCAACATACTTTTCAACTGAGCGACTTGAGTCTGCAGCTCGAAAATCTGATCGGCCGGTGAATGCCCTGCGGCCTCCTGCGCTGGATCGTCTGACAAAGGTGCACCGTCGATGTCTTCTGCGCCAGCTTCGAAGGCCGTCGCATATTCGTCGGCAGTCTCTGGACTTAACATAGTATGCACCCAGCCAGCCGCCGCATCGTCGACTGAAGAGCCGACAGGGCGTGCCGTAACTCCTTGAGAAGAGAAGGCTATCAGGCGCAGATGTCTTTTGCCAGGACCCTTTCGGAAGAGGTCTAAGTACGCCCACGGCAGGTCTGCTAGCAAAACAGGCTGAGCTTCCAGTGCACGGCCTCGGGCTGAAATCATGTCCACAATCACTTCGAAAAGGATGACTGATTCGGAGTCTGCTCCAACCACAAAGGCGTTGAGGGCATCCTCGATCTCTGAACTCAAAGGGAAAACGACCATAAAGCCGTGCTCTCGGCATTTGACCAAGAAAGCAGAGCTTCTCCATGTTGCTGAGGCACTTGGCGAATCTGTCAAAACTGCGGCTGTTGCTCTAGTCTTGTCAACAGCCCCGGCTGCCTGCCGGATAAACTCACTGTCAATTGGATCTTCTCTCACAGCTCTTCGGGCCATTCTGCCCGCTGAGCTCCAAGGAGAAATGCACTGATCTCCAGCTTTGATGAGAAACTGGCAAACACACTATGAGGTGGATTTGGCCCCAAACCTTTCCCTGTAGGATCCCCAATCAAGTTGAAAAAGGGCCGAGAATGAGATGACCAGAAGCCGGCTGGCTTCTCAGGACAAAACAACACGATATGGAACCTTGTAGGGCCGTAATACTCAGTTGATGGAGGCAAATGGAAATCACCCGTCTCAAGCCGTTGCTGAGCAAGCACGCCTGCACGAAATGCTCTCGCCAAGCGAGAAGTACCAGTCCAGTTAGGGGGAGCCGACCCCAATTGGCCAGAAGCACTCAGAGAGCGCAAGGGGCTGAGGTCCAAGGCCAACAAGGCTTCAGGTGTCACAGCCTGCCTCAACTGTTCAACCCACTCAGCTGTCCACGGAGAAGGTCTTATAGAGGATGGTGAAGGTTCAGATGCTCTGAAAACCTCAGAGCCGGTCGCAGCTTCAACTCGCAACCGAAGAGCCCGAACCTGGGACTCAAGGGAGAGCAACTCAGCAGCCAGTTCAGAAGGATTCAAGCTCATGCACGGTAGCCGCCCAGTCTTCGCTGGAGGGCTTCTGATCCGGGCAGTTGGGCAGAACCAGGGGGCAAATGTCTAACGGCTAGGCCAAACACTTGGATAGCAAATTGCCTACAAGCCCTGGATGCCACCAGAATCCCAATACAGATACCACAAATGCAACCACAAAAACCGGCTATGGCAACAACGAGGAGGAAGAAACCCCAGGGGCAGCTGGATGATGCTGGAGGTGCCCAAAATCTGAGTTCCCGGATTGCTTCAACCAGGAGGGCACCCCACATGAACCCAAAAGCTGTGGCCACCAATCGACATGTTCCTTCATGAGATGATTGTGCATATATATATATATATTTGTAATTATATATTCTCATAGTAGTTTGTGTTTGTGTTGTTTGGTTTTTTTGGTTTACCATACCCTAAATGTATTATATGGCACTGCTCAAGCTTTGGTAGCATAATGAATGCTTACTTGTTAGAACCGCCTTTTTTTCACATCTTCTTCCGGTGGATGATTTTCTTCACCTGCGCCGACCAAAACTCTTTTCAACCCCAGGAGTCCGTAAGCTGACCGGCAGAAATCCGTACAAAATCCGTCAGCCAGAAAGCACAATCCGGAAGCCTTCTCCCCCAAATCCGGTCCAAATCTATAAACAATCCGCAAGCCTCCTCCCCCAAATCCGGTACAAATCCGTAAACAATCCGTAAGCCTCGTCCTCTACATCCGGTAAAAATCCGTAAACAATCCGTAAGCCTCCTCCCCCCAATCCGGTAAAAATCCGTAAACCATCCGTAAGCCTCCTCCTTTACATCCGGTCAAAATCCGTAAACAATCCGTAAGCCTCCTCCCCCAAATCCGGTAAAAATCCGTAAACAATCCGTAAGCCTCCTCCTTTACATTCGGTCAAAATCCGTAAACAATCCGTAAGCCTCCTCCCCCAAATCCGGTAAAAAAACTGTAAACAATCCGTAAGCCTCCTCCCCCAAATCCGGTAAACATCCGCACGCAATCCGTAAGCCTCCTCCTCCATGCAAGTCCGGTAAAAATCCGTAAGCCTCCTCCCCCCAAATCCGGTAAACATCCGCACACAATCCGCAAGCCTCCTCCCCCAAATCCGGTAAAAATCCGTAAACAATCCGTAAGCCTCCTCGACCAAATCCGGTAAAAATCCAGAAGCAATCCGTAAGCCTCCTCCCGGTAAAAATCCGTAAACAATCCGTAAGCCTCGTCCTCTACATCCGGTAAACATCCGTAAACAATCCGTAAGCCTCGTCCTCTACATCCGGTAAACATTCGCAAACAATCCGCAAGCCTTCTCCTCCAAACCCGATCGAAATCCATAAGCAATCCGCAATGCTCTTCCTCCAAATCCGGGAAAAATCCGTAAGCAATCCGTAAGCCTCATCCATCTCATCAGCTACCAAACAATCCGTAAGATTCGTTCTCTACATCCGGTCAAAATCTGTAAACAATTCATAAGCCTTGTCCTCTACATCCGGTAAAAATCCGTAAGCAATCCGTAAGCCTCCTCCTCCAAATCCGGTCAAAAAACCGTAAACAATCCGTAAGCGTCCTCCTACAAATCCGGAAAAAATCCGTAAGCAATCCGTAAGCCTCCTGCCCGAATCCGGTAAAAATCCGTAAACAATCCGTAAGCCCCCTCCACCAAATCCGATGAAAATCCATAAGCAATCCGCAAGCCTCCACCCCCAAATCCGGTAAAAATCCGTAGCCTCCTCCTTTACATCCGGTAAAAATCCGTAAGCCTCCTCCTTTCGCCTCCTCCCCCAAAATCCGGTAAAAATCCGTAAACAATCCGTAAGCCTCCTCCACCAAATCCGGCAAAAAACCGTACACAATCCGTAAGCCTCCCCCACCAAACCCGATAAAAAATCCTAAGCAATCCGTAAGCCTCAACCCCCAAATCCGGTAAAAATCCGTAAACAATCCGTAAGCCTCGTCCTCTACATCCGGTAAACATCCGTAAACAATCCGTAAGCCTCGTCCTCCACATCCGGTAAAAATCCGCAAACAATCCGTAAGCCTTCTCCTCCAAAACCGATCGAAATCCATAAACAATCCGCAAGCCTCTTCCCCCAAATCCGGTAAAAAACCGTAAACAATTCGTAAGCCTCCTCCACCAAATTCGGCAAAAATCCGTAAGCAATCCGTAAGCCTCCTCCCCCAAATCCGGTAAAAATCCGTAAACCATCCGTAAGCCTCCTCCTTTACATCCGGTCAAAATCCGTAAACAATCCGTAAGCCTCCTCCCCCAAATCCGGTCAAAATCCGTAAACAATCCGTAAGCCTCCTCCCCCAAATCCGGTAAAAAATCCGTAAACAATCCGGAAGCCTCATCCCCAAAATCCGGTAAAAATCCGTAAGCAATCCGTAAGCCTCCTCCCCCGAACATCCGGTAAAAATCCGTACTCAATCCGTAAACCTCCTCCTCTACCATCGGTAACAATCCGTCATCCGGTAAAAATCCGTAAACAATCCGTAAGCCTCCTTCCCCAAATCCGAAAAATCCGTAAACAATCCGTAAGCCTCCACCCCCCAAATCCGGTAAAAAACCGTACACATTCCGGAAGCCTCCTCCCCCAAATCCGGTAAAAATCCGTACACACTTCGTAAGACTCGTCCTCTACATCCGGTAAAAATCCGTAAGCAATCCGTAAGCCTCCTCCCCCAAATCCGGTAAAAATCCGTACACAATCCGTACGACTCGTCCTCTACATCCGGTAAAAAAAATCCGTAAGAAATCCGTAAACGTCCTCCCCCAAATCCGGTAAAAATCCGTAAACCATCCGTAAGCCTCCTCCTTTACATCCGGTCAAAATCCGTAAACAATCCGTAAGCCTCCTCCCCCAAATCCGGTCAAAATCCGTAAACAATCCGTAAGCCTCCTCCCCCAAATCCGGTAAAAATTCGTAAACAATCCGGAAGCCTCATCCCCAAAATCCGGTAAAAATCCGTAAACAATCCGTAAGCCTCCTCCCCCAAATCCACCAGAAATCCGTACAAAATCCGTCAGCCACAAAGCAAAAAAGCCCTTGGAAATCCGTAAGCTGCTCTGGCAAGAATCCGTAAGAAATCCGTAGGCCAACGTCACCACTTCCCTTCGTCACCACCCTGTGTCATGGCTTCTTATTCTCTTGTTATGTCTTGTTATGTGATGTACCGCCCTTCATCAATGTCAAGTTTCACAATTCTATTTGGCCGTAACCCGGAAGTATTGCTTCCTAACTTCCTTCGACTAGATTTCAGTTTCGAACCATGGTTATGCATACCAATGTATAACACGAATTGTACCCCCAAGTATTCACCCAGGGCATCATGGAAGACTCTTGATCTTTTTCAAGTTGCCATCATCCACTAATAATAAAATAATATACGTATTGGATCGTATTGGGGCGAGGAGGCTTACGGATTGTTTACGGAGTTTTACCGGATTTGGGGGAGAAGGCTTACGGATTGCTTGCGGATTTTTACCGGATTTGGGGGAGGAGGCTTACGGATTGTTTTCGGATTTTTGCCGGATTTGGTGGAGGAGGCCTGAGGAGGCTTACGAATTGTTTACGGATTTTTACCGCATTTGGGGGAAGAGGCTTGCGGATTGTTTATGGATTTCGATCGGTTTTGGAGGAGAAGGCTTACGGATTGTTTGCGGATTTTTACCCGATGTGGAGGACGAGGCTTACGGATTGTTTACGGATGTTTACCGGATGTAGAGGACGAGGCTTACGGATTGTTTACGGATTCTTACCGGATTTGGGGGTTGAGGCTTACGGATTGCTCAGGAATTTTTAACGGGTTTGGTGGAGAAGGCTTACGGATTGTTTACGGATTTTGACCGGATTTGGGGGGAGGCGTACGGATTGTTTACGGATTTTTACCGGATGTAAAGGAGGAGGCTTACGGATGGTTTACGGATTTTTACCGGATTTGGGGGAGGAGGCTTACGGATTGCTTACGGATTTTTACCGGATGTAGAGGACGAGTCTTACGGAGTGTGTACGGATTTTTACCGGATTTGGGGGAGGAGGCTTCCGGAATGCGTACGGTTTTTTACCGGATTTGGGGGGTGGAGGCTTACGGATTGCTTACGGATTTTTACCGGATTTGGGGGAGGAGGCTTACGGATTGCTCACGGATTTTTACCGGATGTCGGGGGAGGAGGCTTACGGATTGTTTACGGATCTTTACCGGATTTGGGGGAGGAGGCTTACGGATTGTTTACGGATTTTTACCGGATGACGGATTGTTACCGATGGTAGAGGACGAGGCTTACGGATTGAGTACGGATTTTTTACCAGATTTGTGGAAGGAGGCTTACGGATTGCTTACGGATTTTTACGGATTTGGGCGAGGAGGCTTACGGATTGTTTACGGAGTTTTACCGGATTTGGGGGAGAAGGCTTACGGATTGCTTGCGGATTTTTACCGGATTTGGGGGAGGAGGCTTACGGACTGTTTTCGGATTTTTGCCGGATTTGGTGGAGGAGGCTTACGAATTGTTTACGGATTTTTACCGGATTTGGGGGAAGAGGCTTGCGGATTGCTTATGGATTTCGATCGGTTTTGGAGGAGAAGGCTTACGGATTGTTTGCGGATTTTCACCCGATGTGGAGGACGAGGCTTACGGATTGTTTACGGATGTTTACCGGATGTAGCGGACGAGGCTGACGGCTTGTTTACGGATTTTTACCGGGTTTGCGGGTTGAGGCTTACGGATTGCTCAGGAATTTTTATCGGGTTTGGTGGAGAAGGCTTCCGGATTGTTTACGAAATTTTACCGGATTTGGGGGAGGAGGCTTACGGATTGTTTCCGGATTTTTACCGGATTTTGGGGGAGGAGGCGTACGGATTGTTTCCGAAGTTTCTTCTCACCATAACAGGTATATCGCCATCGCTTATCCCCAAGAAATGTGGCAGCCATTAGTCACAAGTC